AATAAATTACCCATGAGTAATGCGCACAGGCCGCAGGGTTGGAGAAATAAAGTGACAAAACGACATCGTTTTTTCAGATGGCGACGTGGCTTAATAAAAAGATTAGGGACACGTGTCAAAAAAATAAGGTAGGGCTTCTTTTTATAGATAAGAGAATAATAAGATTTGATATCATTAACCAATACCTGTAAGTTATAACACGAGAAAAATATCTTTAACATATGACTAATTTGTACTCTCCCACTAACACACACAATGCTGCAATACAATATTAACTTAATATGATTAATATTAAAAGAAACAAGTGACAATAAAAGAATGACATTTAATGAAATAAAAAATTCTTTCACCGATTCATCAGTTCATTTGTCTAACACAACGAAAATAGAACAAAACTAATTTAAAACATTGGACAAATGAAACTAAAATTTTAATATGACCAACTAAAAGAAAGTAAGAAACTATGTTTGCACCACAAGATTTGATTAACATTTGACATCATTAACTAATCCCCTTCACCTTATATATTAATTCAAAACGTGCTGAGTCTAAATGGCATGCTCACATGTTTCAGAATCTATGTGGCAAAATCACATGCTTCGTTATTAGGCTTGGTAGATTTTAATTTACTTCCAATTCAAAAATAATTAGGTCCGAATTGTCCATAAAGAAGTTAATTATTTATGGTCATGTTACATATATTAAATTTTATTTTAATATCTTTTCTTATTATAACCATTGACTTGTAAATGTATTTTAAAAGTTGATAATTTTTGTATTTTTTATCATTTATACATATATAATATATCAAATTAATCATCTTTTGATGAGTTTCGATTTAACATCCATATTGTATGTATAAAAGAATAAATTATATTTATCTTTATAACAATAATAAAGTTGCTTTTTTAATATTAATTAAAAAAATAAAATTATTTATCAATTAATATATTTATATTTCAAGTAGTTACATGACATAAGTTATAAAAACTACTATAATATAACACATGTAAGTCGCAAAAGTAACAAGTGTCATTTTAAAATATATAATTATATATATTTTTTGTAAAAAAATAAATAATTATATATATTTTTTGTAAAAAAAATAATATTTAAAATAATTTTTCTCATTAATTTTAAAATTTAAGAATAATTTTATAATAAGCACCCGTGTAATACACGGGTGCTTTACTAGTACCTATAACATAAAGAAAAAATATCTCCAACATATGGCTAATTTGCACTCTGCCACTAACTAACACAACGCTGCAATACAATATGACACAATGTGATTAATATCAAAAGAAAAAATCTATAAATAAAAGAAAAGACAATCAAAAATTAATATTTAATATAAACAAAAATCTTTAATCGATTCATTAATTGTCGAACACAACGAAAATCGAACGATGTGATTTTTTAACAAAATTATTTTTGGTATGAAAATGTTACTCAAAGTAAAATCAGAAGAATGAAATATTGATAATACTTTTTTGTTAATAACAATAATAAAATAGATGATAAATTTAATAAGATTTTGCAAAAAAAAAAAAATTATATAAATCTACAAAGCAATGAGAAAAAGTCAAATGTACTCACTAATTTGGTTAAACAACATTGATGTCACATAGTATTCAAAAGCAACGCAAGAAGGTGATCGTATCTAATCTTATTTTTCTATAATGATGTAGCACTCAGAATAGTTTTGCAGGCTGTCTTGAGTAGGCAGCTCGAGTAGGCCGGTCCAGGGGAGCTCTAGCTTGTCCAGAAGTAAGTAACCTAGTCTAGGAGCTCGTATTAGAGCTTAAGGTACTGGCTGCCCTGAAGAAGATGACTTGTAGGTACCAACCTACAGGAGTCTAGACAAGAAAGCTAACCTGAAGATATCGAGGTCATAAGACCTGAGGTCAGGTTTGACCTCGGCTAAGTTGCAGCAAACATGTCAGAAGGTCGTGGTTACTATCTGGGGACCTAAGGGGTGCACAGTAAAGAGAAATATAATCCTAATAAGAATAAAAGTATCACTTGCTAAGGAGACTTGCCAAGATAGAGACGTGGTAAGTAAGGAAATGTGATATGGTGGGATATCATTCCTAACGAGGACTGTCTCGGGCATCAAGCTATGTATTCTATTTAAGTGTGACACGTTTTACTTCATTAATATATCACATCTTATGTCTTAAGTCTTATTTTTCTCATATATTTTCGTTGAACAAGTTCTGACTTGAGCGTCAGAAGTTTTTCGTTGGGACCCCCTCCCGACATATTGTAGGTCACCGGAGCTCAAAGGAGAAGGAAGTTCATGGCGTAGGCGGTTCAATCCAGTTCGAGATCAAAGTGACGCAACAAATTGGTGCCGTCTGTGGGAGCACTCTAGTCTTTTTACCGACTATAAAGGATTGGCAGTATTTTCTCTCGATTCTTGTGAAATTAGAGATCATGCTAAGTGATAATCCCAAGAAAAATTCGGCCCTCTCCCGGGTTGGTCGCAATCCTCCACTGCTCTCATAACGCCGTAGAAGACACTTCCTGCACCTCAGATAGTGTTGAATCTATCCGCGGATGCACTAGGAGGATCCACCGGTGGGGCAGAAGTACCCACTGGTCAATAGGAGAAGAGTAGCAGCGAGACGATGCAGTGGTCAACCGACTTGAGGAGAATGCCGAAGTGTAGCAGCTTAATGGCGAAAGCAAGAGGATCCTCGAGGAGGGGAGGTTTTCCAGCTTACCCAAGAATTGAACAAGATCGTAACTGAGGCGAGGGCCCGAGTTCAGGAGTCCAGACAACCAAATCACATTACGTCGCAACCACGGCCACAGAGGAGGCTTGAAGAAAAAGAGGCCAGGGAAGAGTCGTTGCCGACAACCACGTCAAGGCCCCCACGTGAAACTGCGATAGAGAGCTGCAAGCTAAAGTCGGGGGAAGATCCGCTTCTAAGGGAGCTACAAGCTCATGTTTATTCTGAGTTATGGGTCTTAAATTTCTT